AGTGAACAGCCTTAGAAAACAGGTCAGTGACCGTCATGATGGTATTAAGGTCGTTGACTGGTGGGAGCCCTGTGACGAAGTCCAACCCCACATGGGACCAGGGGCGGCTGGGTACCGGAAGAGGTCTGAGGGTACCAACCGAGGCCTGGTTGGATGTCTTGGAGTGGGCGCAGACGTCACAGGCACTTGTATAGTCCTTTACATCTCTCTCCATACGTGGCCACCAGAGAGCTCATTTGAGAAACCTAAGAGTCCGTGAGAAGCCCGCGTGGCCAGACAGGCGTGATGAGTGGGCCCAGGACAATGCCTCGCAGCGACAGGCCGTGGGGACGTAGAGCCGACCCGCGGGGGTCTCTGGAGGCACGGGATCGTCTCGGAGGGTGTTTTGGATAGCCTCCTCCAGTGGCCACCTCCGATGGGCCAAGAAACGGTGCTCGGGGAGGATAGGTGCCGGCTCGGATGTGGGCATTGGATGTGTGAACTGGCGGGAAAGGGCGTCCGCCTTCTGGTTCTTTGTCCCTGGGCGGTAGGCGAGATGGAATTCATAGGGCTCAAAGAAGAGGGCCCAGCGGGCCTGGCGAGGATTGAGCTGCTTGGCTGATCTGATGTGAGTCAGGTTCTGGTGGTCCGTCCAGATGGTGAACGGCTGTGTGGTGCCCAGAAGCCACTGCCTCCATTCCTCCAATGCCCACTTTATGGCCAGCAGCTCGCGATCCCCTACGCCGTACTTCTGCTGGGTGGTGGAAAACTTCCTGGAGAAGTAGGCGCAGGGATGAAGCCTGTCGTCGGGCCCGGCTTGGGACAAGATGGCACCGGCGCCAACATCCGAGGCGTCGACCTCGACCACAAAGGGGACTGCATGATCCGAATGGTGGAGGATAGGAGCCGACGTGAAACGGGCGACTAGGTATTGGAAGGCCCGAACGGCGTCTGGAGTCAGCCGGAACGGTTGGCTGGGAGGGCTTGGTCGGGTGAGAGAAGTGAGAGGTGCCACAATGGTGCTAAAGTCCTTAATAAAACGGCGGTAAAAGTTGCAGAAACCCAGAAAACTCTGCAGTTGTTTCAGGCTTGTCGGGAGGGGCCAGTCTCTCACCGCCTGGACTTTCTGAGGGTCCATGGTTAGTCCTTTATCCGAAATCATGTAGCCCAGGAATGATACGGACCGCTGGTGGAAGGAGCACTTCTCGGGCTTACAGAACAGGTTATTGTCCCGGAGCCGGGTTAGAACAGCGCAAACATGGTGGAGGTGTTCGGCCTCGGACTTGGAGTAGATCAGGATGTCATCCAGGTAGGCAAACACCCACCGTCCCAACATGTCGCGGAGGACATCGTTTATGAGGCATTGAAAAACGGCGGGGCTATTGCACAGCCCGAAGGGCATGACCTGGTACTCCCAGTGACCGGTGGGTGTGATGAAAGCGGTCTTCCACTCATCTCCAGCTTTAATACGGACCAGATTGTAGGCGCTCCGGAGGTCCAGCTTGGTGAAGATCCGCGCCTGGGAGATGGCGTCCAGGGCAGATGTGAGGAGCGGCAGAGGATGACGGTCTTTGACTGTGATTTTGTTCAGACCTCGGTAATCGATACAGGGGCGGAGATCACCCTCCTTTTTCCTGACAAAGAAGAAGCCTGCAGCACCCGGGGAGCAGGAAGGTCGAATGAAACCCTGCTGGAGGGCCTGGTCAATATATTCCTCCATGGCTCTGGACTCGGCGGGAGAGAGAGAAAAAAGGCGCCCCCGGGGTGGACTGGTTCCTGGTTGCAGCTTGATATCCATGTCGTACGGGCGGTGAGGCGGCAGTGTGGTGGCGCGCCGCTTGTCGAACACCGCAGCCAGGTCCCGGTAGGGCAGTGGCAGATTGGGCGGTGTTTGGCCAGTGTCACCGTCTGGGCGGTCTGGCATGGATGTAGGAGGAGAGAGGTGGGCCTGGCATTGGGTCCCCCATTCCAAAATGCGGCCCTGGGACCAGGAAATCCGGGGGTCGTGGAGACGGAGCCAGGGAAATCCCAGGATTAGAGGAGAGGAGGGAGCACATATGATCAGGAACTGGAGGGTCTCTCGGTGGCCTTGGACAATCATCTGGAGTGGCTGGGTTCGGTTTTGGATCGGATAGGGTTGGAGGGGCCTACCGTCCACCGAGGTCACAGGCACAACTCTCTCCGAGGGGGTCATGGGGATCCGTAGGCGTTTAGCCAGATCCATGTCCATAAAATTGTCAGCGGCCCCTGAGTCCAACAGTGCGTGCATCTGAAGTGAGGTCTCACCATGAAGGAGGGTAACATGAAGAAGGAGTCGATTTGAAGAGGCGGGGGCTGAAGGTGACCCAGGCTGAGCGACCCCGATACTCAGTGGGTTCCTTCGTTTCCCAAACGTAATGGACAGTTCAGGCGTCTGTGGTGGGAGGAGCCACAATAGGCACAGAGACCCTCGCGCCACCATCGCTGTCTCTCCTCTGGAGGAAGGTGGCCTAATTGCATGGGCTCATCAGTAGAAGCGGGTCCGGGAGCAGGCGTGGGGGAACGAGGAAGAGGTCCAGGCGCCCTGGATGGGCGAGTGAAGGGCTTGGGCCGAACCAGAACCCGCTGATCCATGCGCAGCGCCAAATCGACCACTTCATCCAGAGTCTGGGGCAGTTCCTTTCCCGCCATCTCATCACGGATGTAGGTCGCCAGTCCCTCCAAGAAGACGGCTCGGAGGGCAGAGTCATCCCACCGCAGCTTGGCGGAGATGGTGCGGAACTCCGACGCATAAGCGCACACCGTGCGCTCCCGCTGGCGGAGCTTTAGGAGTTGTGTTTCTGCTCCCACTTCGCTGCTGGGTGGAACAAAAGTCTTTCTGAGGGCGGACACAAAAGCAGCATATTCATTGCAAGCCGGTGATTTGGAATTATAAAGCGCAGCGGCCCACTCAGCCGCGCGTCCGGAGAGCAGGGAGGTGAGATGCGCCACCCGAGAGCGTGCAGTGGGGAAGCGCCCTGGCTGGCACTCAAACTGCATGTCGAGGGTGGCGAGCAGACCGTCTGGGCTCCCCGTCTCTCCGTTCCACCTCTCTGGGAGACTAAAGTGCGGCCCCTCTGTTGGTGGAGTGAGGGCTTGCTGCTGGAGAGCATGGAGGGCTGTGGATAATTGTAGGATGAGATCGGTCTGGGAGTTTTGTTTGGTGTGGAGCCGATCGATCAGGGCGTGGAGCTGAATGAGTTCATTTTCCATTTGCTCCGTCTTTCTTTTCATGCGCTCGAACTCTGCTGGATCTACGGACTCAGTCATCCTGTCACGATGGTCGACTGGGTACGGGAGTTGAGCTTGGTAAAGATGTTTGATATCAGGATTATTCGGTAGAGAACTCTGATCAGGGGTTTCAATGAAACGATGACTGAGTGAAGAGCCGGTGCGGCGTCTTCCATATATAGGCTTGGGTGTGACTGGGAGAATGCCGGGAGTTCCCGCGAGGAGCATGCTGGGAAATGTGGTCCAAGATGGAGGCCGGTTAGCTGGGAGAGGCCGGTCTGGGGGCTTGGGTTCTGACAGTACTAAGGAGAGGATGAATGAGGCTAAAAGCAACAACCTCCTTCCCTCAGCCAGCGTATTGAAGATGGGGTCGTGGGCGTGACTTGGTCTTCTAACATGACAACGACCCGAAGCACACAGACAGGATAACCAAGGAGTGGCTCTGTAAGGAGAACATTAAGGTTCTGGAGTGGCCTAGCCAGCTGGAAGGAGCTGAAACTTTGTGTTGCTCAGTGACAGTCCTGAAACCTTACAGATCTAGAGGAGATCTGTGTGGAGGAGTGGGTCAAAATCCCTGTTGCAGTGTTCAAACCTGGTCAAGAACTACAGGAAATGTTTGACCTCTGCAAATGTAAACAAAGGCATCTGTAGTTTTAACACGGATTCATACTTGTGCAGCCGTGCAATCCAAATGACTTCTTTATAAATCATACAATGTGATTTGCTGATTTGTTTAATGTTGTCTTTCTCTGTGAGAATGCACATGTACATTTCAGACCCCTCCAAGCAGGAGAACTTGCAAAATCACTGGGTGTTCATTTACTTCTGCCACTCACTGTAACTGACACATTCCCATTGTGCTTAATACGGAAGAAATTTACATTTTTAAAGTGGCATTTTTCAGCCTTCAGATAAAAACTGCTTACAAAACAAAGCTTTGTGTGTATGTGTGTGTGTGTGTGTGTGTGTGTGTGTGTGTGTGTGTGTGTGTGTGTGTGTGTGTGTGTGTGTGTGTGTGTGTGTGTGTGTGTGTGTGTGTGTGTGTTGCTGTCAGGGGTGAGGTAGTGGGCTTTTTGTTTCTTGACTGGCTTTTAACTGGTCCCCCTGATAATGGGAGTCAGTTGGAGCCTCAGTGGGGATCAGGGAGCAGACAGTGGTGACTCCTGTTCACTCTCCTTTCTCTGTGCTATTTATGTGTCCTTTTCCTTTGCCAGCCTGATGGAGGCAGCTTAGTTACTCGGTGCCAAGTGAAGACGAGCCAAGTGTGGTCTGAAATCTAGTTCACTGTCCCTCTCCCTCCAAACAGAAAAGCTTTTGGGACGTGGAACCAAGCGCAGTCAGCTAGTGTGGGCGTCACGGCATTGATGCAACTGAAGGATTTGCCCACATTGCTATGGAGACAGTAGCATGCAGCAGCTTCAAGAAGGAAAGATAAATCCCATCCCCCTCCGTTCTCTTTTTGAAGCTATTTTAAAACCTGCTGCTCAAGTGTTTACCCTCCGGAGCGCTCCATCCCTTCTACTGTTACTCACAAAACCAAACACACACACAACAAAACAGCGACACACGTGTGTAAACACAGGGAAATATGCACCATCATCATTAATTCATTTGTGGGCGATCCCTCAACTTTCATTCTTCCTGGAAAGACCAAACTAAAAGGCTGCTCAACTACAACTTTTATGATTTTGTCTGAAGAGACTCAACCTGAAACGACAGATGATTAAACTGTTTGAAGATGAGTGGGTCAGATGTCTGCAGTTCAGTCTTACCGCTGTCACTGTTATCATCCACAAGGATGATTTCCTTGAGCAGATGTGCAGGTGTGTGATTGACCACGCTGTGGACGGAGCGGAGGATCACTGATAGCGCCTCATTCACAAAAATGAAGACCACAGAGATCTGAGGAAGGTCCTCTGGGTAAGTCAGCTGCTTACACCTGATGAGAGAGGGGAGAACAGATTATTAGCCAGTGCCAAAGTGACTAAAATGTGTCTGAAGCAGTTTGCTTTGCAGCATTAGATTAAAATATTTACAGCAGGAAACTCCCGTGTGGAATTTAAAACATGATTGGTAGCTCAGGTCTGTTTTGTGTCTTAGTGAACCAAAACAGAACATCTGCATGCAGATGAGCAGCTCTTTAAATAAAACACACCCATAAGAAATGGTACTACACACCACACAAACTTCAGTACTGCAGCAACGTCTTTTCAACACAGTCAAGGCATGAAAATTACAGGTATAACAAATGACTATAATAATAGCTCTTCTCCATGTAGGAGTCCTGGGGAGCATGTGCAAAGCAGCTCGTTGGAAATGGAACACCTGCAGTCTACAGGACAGAAACATAGTTAATGTGATTAGGTGCATCTGTTTAATTAGTTCAACTGTTTGCACAGAAATAAAATAAGAAAAATGAGTCTATGAGTTACCTTCTACTGCCTGAAGCTCAAAACATCCCATAATCAAATTAACACAATAGCTCCTGACACAAGGAACCATGTTATCTTCCCTAAGACAAATAAATGTACATGTCAGGGTGTTAAAATCAAGTTATAAAACATATATTTGACTGTGTGTTACACAAGAGCTAGCAGTGTTTAAGTAACAAACCAACAACAATCAGCTGTCAAATTTACAGCAAGCCAAACGGACTGCAGATATGTTCCCCAAGACGTATAATTGTATAGAAACAGGAAGTATTGTTGAATGTTGAGGACACAAAGTTCGAAAAACACAACCAGTTACCCAAAATCCTAAACCGGATATAGCACGTTTCCAGCTATTCCATTTAAACTCAGCTTGTCTTTATTAGTCTGCCTTTTCCATTAGTCATCCTACAGGGACACTAAAACCTGTCACTGATGTCCTGCTGCCTCTCACATGAATCCAGTTATTAAAACAGATCGTGTGCATTTAACCACTAAAACTGATATTTTGCCTTGTCTGATCTCACCAGTCCCAATAAAGCAGCGACTGCATCTCTGCTGATGGTCTCTGTTTCAAGGTCTCTAAAACTTTCTTGTCTTTTCTAAGAAAAGAGTACATTTTCTCCCTAAAAAGCAGAGGTGTGGAGTCGAGAAACATGACTTGGACTCGAGTCATTATTTTAATGACTTCGGACTTGACTTGATAAAATCTATAAAGACTTACGACTTGACTCGGACATGACCGCCAATGACTTGCGACTTGAATTAACTTGCATCTGTTGACTTGATAATGACTGGAGCATATTTAACATTTTAGCACAAAAGTGACACGACATGGATAAAAATCATGAATCATTCTTGGTTCTGGGTTTGATCTTGTACTGCTAAATGCAGCAGCTCTTTGTTTATTATCAGTTTCAGTTGCAATTTCTGCTTGTTTGAGTAAATAAATTAAGCTTTAAGAAGCTTTATTTCTGGAATTTATTCATTATCATAGTCATTAAATTGAAGTCAGACAGATGACTTGATTATGACTCGAAAATTCAAAGTCAAGGACTTGGACTTCCACTATTGTTTTCCTGTTTATCTTTATTCTTCTGATTCTGCTTCCGTACACTTTTTGAACCTTTTCAACTCCTTCAAATTTCTAACTATTTCAAATATTTTATATCAAAATGTTCAGCTTGTTAAGCTCTTTCCAGCCATAACTTTTGGCATTGATATCTTTAAATATTTTCGAGTTACTAAGCTTTTTCTGCGACAGTTTTCCCATTGAAATGAATGGGATTGGTCAATTTTCAGCAAATTCCTATCACTTTTTTGACCTAAAACTCTTTTGGGTTCCCTTTAACTTGGAGACTTCATCAGAGTTTAAAAAACTCACAAGACTTTCCTGTTTAACATATTAAAGAGGCTTTTTGATATCTTTTATGGTTTTTCTAAAATCGCAGGTAGAATTTGAGGAACAACTTGAAATATTCAGAAAAATTCACAAAAGTTATAATGGGGAAAGATAGGAGCGGTGACCCTCCCTTGCTCCATTTCTGGCATTGTCCCGAGAGAACCGTAGGTCCGATTGAAATGAGACACAGGCTGGCTTACAGCTAACAAAAATACCACCGTTTTGATTTATAATCCACGAATGTATTGCAGACATTGTGGTCGTATGGTTCATTTCTTTGAGCATATTCAAATATTTAAAAAAATGCTTCCCACCACTCTAAACTGAAAATTCCACACTCTAACTTTTGAACTTCACTTCTTCTGTGAACAGCTCTTTACTACCCCAGACCGTTTGTACTACCGAAACAAATCATAACTCAAAAAGTAGGAATTTTTGTCAGTTTTTCAGAATGGGTTTCATTTTGTCTGTGCTACCATTCTTTTGCTACAAGCCCCAGAAAGAGAGACCCAGATTTTCTCTCATTAGCTGTTTTTATAGGACCATAGCGTTTTCAAAACGGGATTTGACGCGGCACCCTGGGGAGGATTTTGACATTTATAGTAGCAAAGCTGAAGCTAGAATATACTGCCATCAGGCACCTCTCCAACCAAGATGCAATATAGGGGGGTCGCTGCCCCCCCCCCCCCACGTGTGATGTACAGTGTCACGCATTCAGTGTCAGACGGAAGATACGTCAGAGCGATGAAATTTCTTTTTCAGGACCTTTAGCTTTGATGTGACCCGCTTTTTGTTCCGCTTGATGCCCCGCTCAGCCGGTGTTTTCACCACTCTGTTGAACAGCTGGCTGTCCCTCACCGTCCCCGTGAAAAGGCGAGTAATCTGCTTGTCGCACGTCCAAAAGCTCCATGGTCTCCGCGTCTGTCCAGCCGGCTTTTCTTCCGGCCGGCACTTAGCGCGCAGTACAGGTGACTAACACGACCACCCTCTTTAGCGGGGGGGGGGGGGGGGGGGGGGGGGGTCGTCTCCCACAGTCCGGGGGCTCCCACTCCAAGGGATTAGCGGGGTTGACGCGTTAAGCCGTCAGATGCGAGGGGCTGACGCCGGGGACACACTGGCCGCGGAAGTGCCGCGAAAATGGGACCGCCTTCATTCGGCGCCCTTGTTAAGCTACTCTATAGACCACATGGGTCACCGAAGCGCCGCGAATCGCCGTGCAGCGATCATTTCTGCGTTGGCTCTATTTTTTTCGCGAGCCGCGGGTGAATCGCGTCAATTCTGGCAGGAAGTCAAACCTAGACATAAGAGGCAGGCCGGTAAAGTTAACAAAATAAAGCATTTCAAAATAAAATTCCGCAATAGTCAAATGTGTTCGTAAACAGACACTGCAGAAAAACCACACGAACATGCACACACATACACACACATCGAAATTGTGTGCGTGTGTGACCACGTGAAGGGGGGTGTGGTTTTGGGTGTCTTTTCACCGGAGCAAACAGGACAGAGAGGCAGAAAGTCTGAGGCAAGCAGTTAATATGGATGACTTTGAATAAATTATGGAAGTTGAGAAACACAAGGAGCTGCACGACCCCCGAAAAACATGGTTATTTACGTACCCATTTCGGAAGAAACTGCTAGGATACAGCTGCAGAATTGGAGCGAGTTCCAAGAGATTCAACTGGCAGAAACAACTCATACCATAGGTTCACACACACACACACACCTACACACACACACACCTACACACACACACACACACACACACACACACACACACACACACACACACACACACACACACACACACACACATGCACATACGTACAAACACTCAAACGTAGAGGAAAAGAGCTGAGAAGAGAAAAGAAAAGAGCCACCTCCACGGGACAGGACTCAGCAGTTCATTTGCATCTAAAGGACAAAGGTCACTCTTTCGAGGATGCCAACGTTCACATTTTGGACAGAGAGGACAGATGGTTTGAAAGAGGAGTAAAGGAAGCAATTTATCTCCACTGTGAGCAACCATCTTTGAACAGAGGCGGTGGTTTACGACACCAACTGTCTGCCATCTATAATCCAGTTTTGAGATCCCTTCCCAGATGCCTCAACGCCCACGCATATCCTGGGCCATCTGACTTCAGGAATTCACATGATACGGTGGGGCCAGGTTTCACAATGAGCTCACCCGAAACTCTGGCTGAATAGGACCCACACCCACCCCCACACCTTGGCTCATGTGTTTATGTAGAAGATCATCAGGGGGTCTTTTGTTCCCTCTTCGGGGGGAAACTCCCACTGGGTTTAAATCTGGGACTCTCCACCATTTGACCTTAGAACTGAAGAAGCCTCTCGGATGAGAGGTGAAATGTCTTCAAGCAACTCAAAGAAGTCCAGACGCTTTTCTTTCAAAGCTCATTAGACTACTATGACCTGGATGACTGAGAATCTTCACAGACATACTTCAGATAGCTAAATGTTCTCGTCATAGCTTCTAGACAATTCATGGTAAGCACATAAAAATTCACACAGATGACCATCAAAGCCTTCTGCCGCTCACACATTTAAAATTTTTCCAATCAGGGCTGCAGTTTTTGAATGGTGATGAGACGTTTCAGAGGTCTGAAATGACATCTGAGCAGCTGAGCACTGTTAAATACATGATTTATGAAATCTTGAAACAAAAATTTCCACCGACCACATCTTTTATAGTACACTAATGATATTCTCAACTTCGTTGGGTTATTTTGTCCGCTTCAAAGTGTTGTCTTCGGTGTTGCTGCTGGTATTACGTTTTTTTTGTGCTACACGCCTCAGAAAGAAGACTGTGCCAGCTTTCATCCATTTAAACCCCTTTAAAAGAAGGCACCTGTGGCCGACAGACAGCTGAAATGTTCTCCTCATAGCTTCTAGAACATTAATGGTAGGCACACAAGACTTCACACAGATGTCCACCAAAGCCTTCTGCCAGTCATGCTTTTTGAATTTTTCCAATTGGTGCAGTAGTTTTTGAATGGTGATGAGACATTCAGAGCTCTGACATGACATCTGAGCAGCTGAGCACTGTTAACTGCATGATTTATGAGATCTTGAAACAAAAATTTCCACGAC